CTCTCTCTCTCTCTCTCTCTCTCTCTCTCTCTCTCTCTCTCTCTCTCATACCCAATAGCGAATACACGTAGCCATGTGAAGTGCGCACAACTTGTTCGCTCCGTCAGTTAGTATTATAACAAAATGTAATTAATTATACTGGTAAACTTACCAGACAAAACATGAACTCTAGTTGTACCGGGTGGTGCGTTATTTGGGCCGCAAGTGTACAAGCCTGCGTCGTTGCCTGTAGCTCGCTGAACCAATAGTCGACTTTTGCTTACTATTCCTTTTTCTGTCACCAAGGAGATTCCACCTCTTGCCGAGTCGAAGTTTATTACCTGTTGAAAATAAAGTTTAACATTTATTTTATTGAATATCAAGTTCTATTAACTACTATAATATTTTTTTCTTTCGTGACAATACAATAGTTTGATATTATTATTGAAATAAAGATAGCAAACACAAAGAAAAATTCCTACGATCTTACTCGATAATCAGCAGGCAACAGACGCTGTTTCGAATTCAAACAAAACGAAGGCTTTTTTTTTAATATTTTTGTATTGTTCAATCGTTGTATCAATAAATTTAACATAAAATAAAATAGACATTCATGACAACACTAAAAAAAATTTTTTAATGTAGGAACGTTACAACACCACAACACATACGTATGTAAACAAGAAATTAATAATACTTAGTACAAACAAAACAAAATTGAAAGAATTAAAAACGAAAATAAAAAATACAAAAACAATAAAAAACGAAATAAAGTAAAGCAAACCACGCAAAAAACAATTAACAAAATATAACTTTTAATAAACAGTATACATATGTAGTTGCATGTGTGAGAAAGGTTAAACAAAAAACTATAAGGGATGGTAAAGACTTATAAGGAAGATCATTGGGATAATGATGATGGGTTTGCTGAGTCTGTACTAACAAATGCGTCCCATTCCCTGACATCAAACCACGAAACTGACCTATCCCTTATTAAAAAAACCATAACTCAAAAAAATTCAACCTGTAGTGGTAGTCCTGGGTGTATATAACACATAAAACAATTTGCAAGCATAAAAAACAATCAAGAAATGTGGAATCATTTCAAACAAACAAGCTAAATGACACAGTTCTTTTAAAATCTTACGTACAGTAAAACTATCCTCTATTATTCATTTTATGCCTTCTGCGCGCCAGTAAAAACTGTTAATGACCCTCATTCATTCAAATGAATCAGTTTTGCTTTATGAGTTTTGGCAACTAGCCTGACATAGTGCAGTTTTTAAATCAATTTAACCATTTAGTATCTACAAATTGCCAGAAACATTACTATCATTTAAACTATGTTCAATATGAAACCTAATACTGTTAAATTTCCAATTCGAATATCCAGTGAAGTTTAGGTGTATGAAAGCACTTTACACGCTGCTCAAATGTTAGCTTCTGAAGCTCTAGTTAATGATGTCTAATGAGCTTTAATTGATTATCCAAAGCTTTTTAATTTAATGGAATGGAACTTTTGCCATGCTCAGCATTTCCCTTATGATGCAATCTAGATCTTTCAAGGTCAAACAGTCATATCTAGGTAAGCAAGTACCATCTTTGTCTCATCGGCATAGAGTTTTTGGCAATAGAGATACTTGTCAAAGAATTGCTGATGCCATACACCTATTTTCTAACACTATGTAGTAATGTGAGCATTACGGCGTTCCAGTTTTGAAGGTGAAACCATAGGCAGATGAAACTTGTCAATTTTTGTCTCTCGCTGACGGACGCAGTGAAATTTTAAGTTTAACCGTTTAAGTTAACCTCTAAGTAGCACTGCAACTGTTATGAGTGCCATAATACATACATACCGTACGCATCAAGGGCATGACTTGTTCATCCGTCATTTGATTATGTAAATAAAAAAAAATTTGGATACGTAAATTTTATAGCGATAACTTGGTAGAGTTAGAGAGAATTATTTTTACTATACAATCACCCACATTTTTAATAGTAACTAAGGTAATGGTTAACTTGAGAAGTGGTCCTTTTTAATTGTGGTCATTTCTCATAGTGGCCCTAAACCGCTGAAAGGGGTCATATATCTTTATTTACATCTTCACTTTCTCAAAGATCGGATTGTGAAGAAACGCAAGAAACGAAGATATGCCATCTGGTAGTCGAATGTTTTACTACTGACAAACATAATAATAAATGCATTCTCGTACAAGTAACCGTTAATTAAAACATTCAATGATTCTATAGGTTTTTCAAACACTTAACAAAAACCAAGAAATCCTAAAAGCTAAGATCAAAAATCCAAACTCAATAACTACTTAAGTCATTTCCGAAGCGGTTCTAACTTGGGTATAGGTAATTTAAAGCATTGATAAACGAGCTTGGGTTTATCGTGATCTAAATATCACGGAACACTCAATCTACGTCAATCTGATGTGAATAATTACGGTCTGCATAAATTGATTTGCTTTGCGGACAGCTTTGAAAATAAGTACCTTTACAACGTAGTTTTAGAAATCTTCCCTTTATTAAAATTAATTTTAGGTTTTTTGTTCTTTGTCTAATCAAAAATTACCGTTTATTATGGCTAGGTCAACTGCCTTTTTTATTTTTACTTAAATATAGAGTGACGGATATGTGGGATCACTGCACTGTGACCTTCACCCTGAGACATAAAGTTGACAATTCCTGTATGCCTGATATTTCATCAGCACCATTACCCTTCAAAGTCGGAACATTGCTGTTTTAGAAATATGTAGGTATATTGGCAGTACCTCCCCGGACGAACCTAGCAATCACATCAATAATCTGGTGACTAACTTGGGAATGACTTTGTGTAATAGACAGTTCATCGAAATTGGACCTATGTCATTACCGGAAGATCCGCCTCACAACAACTATAACTTTCTAAAAGTTCCTAAATTGTATTCATCAAAAATCAAATATTCATTTAGCACCCAGATTTCTAATAGCTTGGGCACCGTAGTCATTAAATAAGGAAAGTCCTTAGTATTATCGACAAAGGGCACTCAAATTTCTAAAAGGAGTGCTCCAGGCCGTATTACCGGGTCCGTTCGACATATACATTCAAATAATATAATAAATCTGTAGCAAAACGTAATAACATAAAAGATTACTTACATTTTTATTGAAATGATATTCAATTATTTTAATGTGAAATTACTATTGGTATTAAAATAAATTAGTATAGCGTTCGGCACGGTATGCTAGAAGACGTCGTTTTGAATCCGGCTGGATCGAAGGATTTTTTCTGAGTGTTCGATCTTTGTATCAAAAATTATAAAACATTACTATTTTTTATGCATAATATCAAAATCAATCGAAAGATATTGTGTCTTTGCATAAGCTTGGGTCTTTTCGATCCAAGTTCATGATTTGTTGAGCCCGTGAACTTTAAACTATAATAATTTATCAGGAAAATCACTACCCTAACCTCGACATCAATTTCCAGAACGTATGTACTAAATGTCATTGAGTTTGATTAATTAATACCAAAAATAGTATAAAACTAATTATTTCACCCTCAGAAATGTTATATACTATCAAACAGAAATAAGATTGTGATATTCAATAGATCGATTTTACTCCGAGTAGACAAAATTATAAATTCTTGAATTATATTTTGAGATTGCTGAAGAGGAGTAGTAGTTAACTGAGAGAACGGTTGCTTCTTAATTGAGAGGTCAGTGGTTCGAATTTCTGTCGCGTCATTATACTAACGACTTTAAAAATTACATACATAAGTTATTTAGTAAGTAGGACGACCTCTCGCTAAGGGTGTAACCACATCAATCAATCTATAGTCAATCGATGCCATCAATCATTCGATCCTCGACATCGACATCCTGGTTGTACGGATCGGGCGAGATCTCTCTCCGCCAGGCATAGTAGCGGCTATGTTGGCGGATCAAGAGTCCCATGAGGCAGTGGTCTTCTCCTGTGAAGCAGTGATGCTTCAGAAAGAGGTCGCCATGCATGATCGGGAGAGGGCCGATCCCGCTCGGCGGCGGCGCACCTTCGCGGCTGCGGGCGATCGGAGCGGGGGCTTCGTTCGCCAGTAAGTTAGGTAGCCGCGAGAAGGACGACGGGGAGGTGTGGCCCGCTTCGTCCTGAGGAGAGAAGGGGGAGGACGTAGCTCCTCCTAGGTGCTGGGGGGGTTCCGGTGCGAAAAGCCGATCCCGGATCCTTCCCACTAGAGCACTCGAGAACGCTACCGTGGGGTTGTCGCCGGTAGAAGTCCGGCCTCCCGCTGCCCCTGCGGCGGAGAGGTATCCTAGGAGGATTTTCCCAAGCAAAAAAAAAAAAGGTATCTTCGCTACAGAACATGTACACTTATATTAAGGTGTCTTTGTACTAGCGTTTACAGCGTGCAGCCAAGTGTCCTGTCCAGTGGAAGAGCTGCTATTTGTAGTAACCGTCTGGTTGGTCGTCGTGGTGGTATTTAAATGCGCCAAGGAGGTTTTTGCTAAAGCTTTAGAGCGCTAAAGCGGCGGCTGTACACATTTGGAGGTTTGTTTATGACACAACATTATCCCGAAAGTACCGCATCCACAAATTAAATTAAACAAAAACGCTTGTAGTTGGGATCGTGCGTAGAAAATTAGCCGATTATCATTTTATATATACTAATTAAGATGTTTATTTCAATGAATTAAGATGATGTATATGTAATGTAATTAATGTATTATCTATCATTCAGTCCTCTGCTCAGCGTGCCTTTTAATTCGTTCCACGATTTGAAAAGTCGTTCTGCTTTTAAGCACGGCGGTGCCGGTCTGACTGCGCCTCGCCACAATCAGCTGCTGCAAGAGTGTCCAGCCGAGTATCACCGCGTTTTCGTCAACGTCTTCGATGAATTTATTTACGCTATACATCTTGTCCTGGGCACTGTATTTCTGTATGAGCTCGTCTACATATTGCAGGCTGCCGCCTTCTCTAACTTCGTGTCCCGTCATCACAGGTGGTGCCAGTGATGTTGTAAGTTGATCTAGGTGCCTTTGTCATATCTACCTCAAACTGAGACCAACGCCTCAATTTCAGTATCAGTGCCTTCGCCACATTTCCAATTCGAAACCCCTCTGTCACCATTTCGGACCTCGTCTTGTCCGTCGACATTTCTTTGGGGTACTGTTTCTTGTTGCTCCAAAGTTACCGTTTTGCTCCAAAAGCCTCCAGAAACTCGTCTTCGTCCTTTATTTCGGCCGCCTATCGGGCACTTAGGAGCGACTGCTGTGCACTTTTTAGCCTTGTGGCCTTTCTGGCCACATGTGAAGCAGCAGTCGCTCCTGTCGTTTTCTGATGGGCACAGTCGTCAGACGTGCCCCGACTCCAGGCAGCGGTAACACCGCATAGGGCGGATCTCCAGGACCTCCACTTTTGCGAAGATCCAGTTTGATACGGCGATGCGTTTCGCTGCGTGAGCGACGGAGCTCTCCTGCTCGTACGTCGCTCACTGGGCAGGCTCCGGTGCCCGCGACCGCTGCAGCAATCTGCTCCGGGGTAACGACCTCATCGAGGCCCGTCACCCTGATCTCTCCGTACTTGACTGAACGCGCAATATGCACGGCCAAGTCCAATAGAGCCTTTCTCGTCTTTTCTATTAAGGCCGCGGCCTTGGAAGTACTGTCAAGACCGGGGACCTCTATTATTATGCCCCCGGTCTGTACACGCTTAATGGGCACTCCCGGTAGTTTAACCCACTCTTTAGTGGCGGTCATGACTGCGGCATAGCTCAGTGATGAGCCATCCGGCACCGTCACCGTTATGGCGGCAGTGGTTGGAGGCCTCGGAGGTGTGGTGGTTGGATTCTATAAGAGCCTCAATGCTCTTAAATAGACGCCTCTCCCAGTCGCTTCCGACTTGAGACGGCTTTGCGGCCTTCGACACCTGCTTTCCGCGGATCTGTGACGCAGCCGAGGTCGCCGCGGGTTTACGGCTCGGCCTTGTCGCCAGAACCATCGTCGCGAACCCGCAATTTGAAATCACCGCCAATATTGTCGCCGGTCCCCTCGGCGTCGGCATTGAGACCGTCGCGGGCCCACAGCCGTGTGTCGGTGAGGGTCCTGGGGTCTAATGGTCGGCCCGCTGGTGGAGGGAGCGAAGCTCTGCCCTCAAGCATTCTACCATAGCTGAAAGGCTGGAGAGCTGAGAACGCAGCTCTGCATTCTCTCTCTGCAGTCTCTCCACGTTGGCTCAGATGCACGACCAAGTTAGGCCAACTCCTCGCCGGCCACTTGAACGGTCCTCGCCGCCACCTTGAGGTGGCCCGAAGTATCAGCGCCACCTTCTCGACCGTGTCGAGGTGGTGCTTAATGCGCAAGCCGACCTCGGTCGTCGGGCCTCTATCTTCTTCAGCAGGTCGTCCTTGCTAGAAAGCGATAATTTGGACAGCGTATGCCGTGGAGCGACAGACGGATCCAAGACCGCTTCCTCGTCACCTGAGCCTTTCTGTTGCCTTCTCTTTGGGGCCGGTGTCTCCGCAGAAGGTGGCTTAGCCCGCTTTCTGGTCCGGCCGCGAGCCGACGCCTAGCGTAGACCACTACTACTAGCTACTGGCTACTGCAGACCACGGTGTCGTAGCGAATTTACAGCGTCAATTTTCAAGTCAAAGTTCACCAGTCTAGTGTAATGCAATTTGATATCATTGATACGTCGGTAAAATAATTGTTTAAGTAGAATTAGCCGTTGATCCTATTTGTTTAATGGATTTTTTTCGACTTTCTGCACGGAACAGTACCTCCAAATCTTATATTGGATTACAACATCATTCCGTATTTACCCCTCCTAGTATATATAAGACCGGGATATATACCCATTTGCCGGTATTGAAGAGGGTCGGTTAATTGTGTTATTCTTATCTATGAAGATAACAGACCTCAAGAGGGCGCTTCGTTCCCCGAATATATCGATACAAGATTGGGTGACTGAATGACGAGGGTTGTTCACACCTTTTACAAAAACCATTTTGAAAATCAGGGTAAAACCTTATGTTTTGTTTTATTATTTTATTTATATACACAATTGGTTAGTATACAATATCAATAGGTGATAATATTTCTTGTATTTTTTTTTTGTAGTGTGTGTAGACTAAGCTTTTCACTGCTTTCTCGTATCAGTTTGTTTATTTTTTTCATCATTGTCCTCATCATCAGGTTGCACACATCCACTGTTGGACATAAGAGTTCCCCTGAGCACGCCCAAACCCCCTGGTCCTGTGCCGCCCACATCGATTTTTGTAATATATATTATCAACGTGAGCAAAGGTCGTATTTAACTGTCTTTTCTCTAAATATTCATCACTGGTTTTGTATTGTTTATTCCTGGTTACTTTTGTGTTTTCTTTAGAAGTACAAAACCTTCTTAGAGAAACAACAAGTCTTGCGGAATTAAGTGAACAAACCTGTTATTTGAACCTTTATAATTCAAAAGCGGTTTAATGTGGCTCATCCTAATCCAGGTCCACTCGAAAGATTTAACACACATAGAAGATAAACATAACTGTATGTAGGTAACATACGTATATATACGATTTACTAGATTGATTGTCTTGTGAACTTAAAACAATGTCGGTATTGTCTAACTTTTTCACGATTAGTTGGGAAATAATGACCCTAATTATCTACCACTCTTCTTGCACAAATGAAATGATATCACGAAGATTATTTGTCATTATAGGATGTTACCAAAGAACTAACGAGGGAAAAGCTTTCCTCATTTATAAGGATGAAATTGTATGAAGAACAATATTATTAACAGTAAAATCACACAGCCCAAAAAATAAAATTGGTTATTAAGAAAAATGCTTTCTTAAGGTCGCTTCCCACCATCCATAATATAGGGTTTTCCAAAAAGAACATAACAATTTTGTATTTCAATAAAATACAAAATAATTGAGACATCGAGCTGAAATTTATTCCAGATGCAGTATATAATTAACCGACTTCAAAAAAGGAGGAGGTTCTCAATTCGACTGTATGTTCTTTTTCTTTTTTTTTGTATGTATGTTACGCGACAACCCCGGTATTTGTGAACCGATTTTCATGATTCTTTTTTTGTTGGAAAGGGGGTACTTCCATAGCGGTCCCATTTCATTTTGAAGAAAATCATTCACCTAGAAGGGTGGCTGTTCACGCATGAAGATTCATTTTTATAAATAGCGCCTAACTTTAATTTAGGAGCAATTACTTTAATAGTTGATTTTGCTATTTCTCCAATTAAAGGCGTTTTTCTCTCAATATACTTTGAGTAGTGAGAACCTATATTTATTATCTCCAGTGTTAAGTCCTGTATAGATAGTGGCGAACTACGTAATTCCACGTACTTTTGAGGTCGGTTTTTTTAGTACTCTGCACTGAGATTATTATGTTATATTTAAGAATGGAATTCGATCTCATTCTTATGACCACTGCGAGCACTTTTGCAGCGGTCACACGGCTGGTCAAACAATCGATCTACTGAAGAGGAAGTTCGATAATCGTGTAATCTCGCGACACGGTCCAGTTATATGACCACCTCGCTTATACGATCTAACGCCGTTAGATTACCTTTTATGGAGTTATATCGTTGGTTTATGGCAACAAGTCAACAACGTGAAATGGGCTCAGGAATAATATCAAATGCGAAATTGCCAACGTTTCGGCCGATATGTGTGGAAGAGTGGTAGAAAATGGTCGCGGTTGTCTAATGAACGAGATCGAATTCTGTTCTTAAATGTAACATGTGTACTCCACATGAAATAAATTTCAACTTGATATCTCAAGTATTCTGTGTTTTATTGTAATACAAAACTGTCTCGTCTCTTGGAAAACACGATATTAAGAATTACCGCATACGAGCTCGCACGCGCGCACTATGGAAAAAGACTTGACAGTGGTAACACAGATATATCCGTAGTGGTGCGTCGTATCCGCTGTGAATCGATAACTTCAAAGGTACGGTGCGAAACATCCATTCGACGTACACCAAAGTTGTTTTTTTTTCTTTACTTTGTTTCAATTTAAGCAATTATATAACGATTATGACGGACTAATAAACACTATGAAAGCTGCAGCTGCAATGGGACATTCTCGTTCACTACGTAATTTGGAATGACATCGAGTCACGCATCCATACAGTCAGACACGAATCGTCGAAAAAGCCTCTTTGCGGTGCGTGATCGTACGTGGTCGTCTATTGTTCGTGGTATCTATCATCGGTAAAATCGCACATCGTGGGAAAGCAACGATGGTTTACTCGTTCTTAACTTTCATTATTATTACTTTATAATCAGCTATAGTCTATCTTGCTTGAAGATGGAATAAAATGACAGTTAATTGCGCAAAATTGTCCTCTTACAAGCAGTGGTGATTGAAATCGATAAATATTCTATCGACATACATACTGAATTTAGAACTCTAGGTCTATTAAAAATATAAAGACATTTTTGGTAAAATTTTATCTTTTTCTTTACAATCTATCGATAAAACTGTAGACAACGACTACATGACTTTTTTTAAGCCAGCAACCCTGCAAATGTCATTTTACTCTGTCTTCAAAGAAGACATACTAAGACTATAAACAAAGTGGAATACGAATCATCGCCTATCTTGCTCCATTCGTCATTACGTCAGGCGATTAGTACAAAAAACGCCGGCGTTAAAAAAGTCACAACAAATGTGAATTAGATCAAAAGCTTTCATTGGAACCATTTTTGAAAAGACGCAAAAGAAAATTAATAAAAATTATTATTATTAATTTTTTACCTCTACATTTTAAATGTAAAGCCGATTCGCAGTTTAAAAAGAAGTACCTGTTCACCAAAAGTCCAGGTGATGGAAGTAGGTGGCTCTGGAGTATGCTTCACGGTGCATGTTAGGTTGATGGTTGACCCGGCTTGGATGAATAGCTCTGGACCACTAGATATTATTGTTTCGGGTGCTGTGAACAAAATTAGCTTTGTCAATATTTTTAATAATAAATAGGTATCAATTGTAAACAATAGAAAAACATTTTTAAGAAATCTTTAAATTGAAATTTACGGTTTATGCAGAATTGCATGATATCATTACAGTATTATAGATTGTTTGTAATTATTAATCTAAGCTGTTTACTACAAATCGACTAACACATTTGTGCACCTGTCAAAAAAATACGCCATGAAAGCGTGAGCATAGTCAGCATGAACGAATTGATAACGAAGAGAGTATAGGTCAGTTTTATCAATTCTCGAAGGTTTCTTATTTAATTCCTGGCTCAATCAGTAATAAGGGTGTTCTCTGACGGCTATATTCCAGTTTACGTTGATTTGTGTAGAATAGATGCACGCTTGACCACAATCGCGCCAGTCAAACATTTTTTATGCGTAAGAATATGGGTGTTTTATTAACGATTAAGTTTAAATGGCCTTGCTCGTCGCTGTATGCTTAGTCCAGAATCATAGCATTCGGCAAAACTGTGATATTGTACACACGCCAACATATCAAGCTATACACTGACGTATCTTGTTTCGTTAGATTGGAGGCGATTTTCGAACAAAAATGTGTTGTCTGATGCGCCGTTGTCCGTACACAGCAGCGACGCCAACGCCGTAGGCGATCACATGATTACTTAGCATTGGGCGAGATTGTGGTCAAGCGTGCGTCTAATCTACTTAAAAAAAATAGACGTAAAGAATGTAACGTGCATAACGCGCTACTGCATTATGTCAGATAAATATTTAAAACAATGAAAATAACAACAGAAATATCTCTCAATCGAAATAAAAAAAAAATGGTTTGACGGTTTAACGGAGAGGAATGTCAATATTTAGAAAGTGATATTTCTGTCGGGTTTTGCATGAGAATTCCAAAATAGAGACTTAATAATAAAAAATCTCTCTTCTTCTTTAAGATCTTTTATAAATAATTATAATAAAATCTTTTATAAATATAAACCTTCGTGTTTTATGTACTTTATATTAAAAAAAAATTATTTCATTGGAATTCAAAGTTCACTTCTAATAGCCAAATTGAAACGTACTCATTCTTAATGCAAATTCCAGATTCAGAGTGAAAAGAACAAATAAGAAACTCAAGAGGTTGTTCTTTGTTAATAAGTAATTTGATCACATTTCTGAGAGAACATTTTTTTTTAAGATACTAGTGATGGGACGAACAAGTTATGCGCATAATAGTATACGATACGCCTGTCTTTAACAGTTGCATTGCCACTCGGAACTTTAAATCGCAAAGATCTGAAGTACACTGCCTCTGCGCCCATCATTCGGAGACATAACTTGAAAAGTCCCATGTGCCTGTAATTTCACCAGCACGCCTACAAACGTATTAACATATTATGATTATAGGAGCAGCAAAGAAGAAATATGCCGGTGATTTTCCTCTTCAACCTCGTAAATGCCAATTTTTGTACAACAACAGGAAACTTATTATGAAAGCGTGGGTATACATTGCCACTAATAATAAATAATTGATGACTTTCTGAATCTCTGATCTTGAATTGACCTTTCATAAACAAGTTTACTGTTCTTACCATAAACAACAATTACAAAAATGTACTGTTACTCCGGTGCACCAAATCCAATTTCTTTAATTTTATCCCTTAGAGTTTGCTCAACAGCACGCTTCTGCTGGACAACAATTTAATAAGATTCTATCTAGTTATGTTTGGATTTTATACAGTAAAATTTTATATTGAAATCATCTAAAGCTCCTTGCAGCATAATGTTTTCGATGTAGATAAATTCTTTGTTTTTAGTTGAACGATTTCCTCCAGATCTAAACTTGTCTTCGACCAGCAACAGAGTAACATTTTCTATATATAGTTATCATAGTACGCGACAATATGAATATTATATTAATCATAATTCCCTGTGTACATTATATTATTAGGGTCTTGTACCGCTTTACAATAAACTCAGGTGACTGAGTGATTTATTCCAATACAACCTAACAGGTTGGTTGACTAAAGTTATTGAGTTCTTTTTTTTTTTAAAGACTAAGTGCGCATTTAATTTTGATCTCCATTTCGTCTGAAGGAAAGTGATGCTGACGATAGAGCATGTACACCCAAGAGTGATTACACAAGGCTACTTTCAGCAGCATCGATGCAATCGCTTATAAATCACAAGCATTGCTGCCTAAAGACGCGCGCGTGTGTAACCGTTCTAAGAGCGATGTCACACGAATGCAGCCGGTGCGTTGCGTTCTCGCAGCAGCCGCGATACTTATTTACTCACCGCAACACCCCTCCCCGCTTCGTCCTCTAGCCTCTTTGTCAATTACGCATGCGTTCCGTCGTCTCACGCCGTTTCATCGCACGTATTACAAGTGCACATCATGTGGCATCGCTCTAAAAAACCCTATTCACATTCGAATTGAAAAGGTCTAAGGGAAAGCGTTCAGCGAACAAGATTCTTAGGTTTTCATTATTGTTACACATTGGAAACGAAACTGTTTTTTCCGGTCTAAATCGCGTATATTTGTAGTTTCAAACAAACCAACGGTTTCTGACTCTCTACGGGTCTCGTCTCATGTTCACGGCTGACTGAGATGGGAAAGCATCTCCCAATTAATGTTAGACTTAACTGTTTCATTTATAAAGACTAAATTTAGTTTACTTCTTATAAGTTTGATGCCGTCTAAATACAACGCAATATCGAGATACAATCATAGGAATCCATTTTGTAAGAATAAAAAATCTTGCTTTTTGATATAAACACTTTGTTGTTTTATTTGTCGACTCTCCTTCGATTGTTGCACGTATCAAGGTTCCAGAAGCATAACTTAGATATCAAAGCGAAGCTATCCAAGTGGAACATTGAACACGACAAATCAACAAAATTGTCAACTAGACTAAGCAGAAACGTTAAGTAACATCTTCGTAGGTACGATTCACATGAATCCTTAGAGACGTTGAGAAACTTTCTTAAGGTAATATTTTTTTCTTATACTTTTAGATATATCTGTCTACTTCAGTACTCTGTTGATGGAGTAGATGCTTGCCTACCTATGTATATTAATCGCATTACATTAAGATAACATATTTATGTCGTTGCCATATTTTGTCGCCCCACCTTATTCATCCTTAGGCGCTATATTCTTGCGAAAATATGGTTTAGGTAAACGTACAGCATACATATTTATGGATATATGTTATGGATATTATTAGAAAAGTAGTTTTGTTTTATTTTATTTATGATAACAACATCCATTACCAGCCAATTCACGCTGTCCATCACTGACAATGTTTTTTAATGATGATAATAAAAATATTTTCTTTCACCGCTGTATCCGTTAACCAAAAGGTAAAATAGAAGGAAAGAAGAAAAAAAAAGCATTTGAATAAATACATAAACAAATGTACATGAACAAAACATGAAAATAAAGTAGGCGGGCTTTATTAGCACTTAAATAAATAATTAAAAATATTACAAAGTTATACGTTCCTATCCTAAAATATAACACTTAAACAATTTATAAATCTATTTATTTACATAATAAGTAATTTACATTTGAATAAAGTAGATAAACTATAATCACATAAAATACCTTAATAAACAAGTACCCACTTTATGGGACCGATATTTCTGGCCAAATACCCACCAAGTACAGTGCTTAATATTATTACATCCCGACGTCACAGGCATCGGTTGTTATCCAGGGCACATTATTACAGCCGGTCGTCACCGGCATCGGTTGTTGCCTAGGGAACATCATTACACCCGGATGTCACAGGCATCGGTTGTTGCACAGGGAACATCATTACATCCGGACGTCATCGGCATCGGTTGTTGCCCATCAGACTCAAAGGATATGTCAATGATGGACATATTCGCATGACAAAGCCTATGGTCTATTATCTATGTAGTTTATGAGAGATGTGAATTGCATTTTGTCATCAAGAAGTACACATAGCCACTTTCCAATATGATACTGTTATTTGTATAACATATGAGTAGATTATTCAAATCATGTTAAAGGAGATTACAGTCAGCAGTAAAAGACATTTGTTGTTGACAAGAAAATGTTCATCATCTGCACACAGTAGGTGACGATCTGGTCTTTATGGTACTCAAAGATAAGTCGGATAAACAGTCGGACTGTGCATTTGATGAAAGAATGTTAACAGTAGCGTATACATAATATACATTTTGCAATTAAAAACGTATACTTAAAGTTAAAAATGCGTTGGAAGGCATAGAACATAAGATAAGTCTGACTTAAACCTTCTGCGCCTATGTGATTGCGGCGGATCTTTCTACATTTATCCTTTAATCCATAACCTGCTTTTTCATGTGGTGGAACTAGGTACGTTGACATTTAGCAAGCCAGGTTCTGCACTAACAAAGAATCCTATCTTTAGCATATTAATATTGTATAAGATTGTGCAATCAAGCCATTGAATAGGCAAATGATTCGCCTACTTTAAATTGAATGGTTGCCTACTTTAAATTTAAAAATTCCTAATAAAAATACAAAACAAAGGCAGTGATACCAGATGGATTCTCCGTCTAAACATAATCTTTCTACCCGAGAAAGACTGCAGGTGAATTTCGGATTGCCGGGTGAACTGAGAATTATCTAAAGCCTTTTGGATAAAGTAGCTATAAAAGGGACGTATATGGGTTAATTCCAATAGATAGCGTTGTATTATAAAAACTAATAAAATATCACAACTCACCGACAATATTCAGATAAACAGGCATTCCAATAGGCGGTGTTGTAGAGATCTGACACTCATACTGTCCAGAGTCGCGCCGCTGTGGGCTGCGTATGCGCAGCTCCCACTCTTCGGAGCGCGGCTTGTGCTGCGCCTCGAAGCGCTGATCCGATGTGTATGTGTACCGCCCCACCGTCAGTAAGTGGATATCACGGTGACGCACCCATGATACCTGGTGATAGATAGATAAATAAATAACATGATATTAAATACACAACATATTTTATTAGTAGTTAGTAGCAATAAAGTTCCTTTTGAAAGACATCGTCCAGGTACTGCCACCTTACCTATTTCTGCCGCCAAGCAGTAATGTCAGTAATACGGTGTTCCTGTTTTGAAAGGTAAGGGTGCTGGTGAAATTAACGCACACACACACACACACACACAAACATAGCCCCGCACTAGGGAAACCCTGTGTCGCGGGTACCATGGACACATATAGACAATCACACATTACACCCAAACTCACGAGAGAAATATATGTAGGCTATACAAATACTTCTCACGTCCCGGGAATCGAACATGGGACCTTTGCGTGGCAGTCTGGCATGGTCACCGTTCGGTCACGGAGGCAGTTTAATTACACGCATATGAGACTTGTCAACTTATGTTTCAGGGTGACAGGCGCAGTGGCAGTGTCCCTCAGATCTTTGTGATTTTAAGCTCTGAGTGGCACTGCAACTGTTGTGGACAGGCGTGTAGCTTACCATTCGCGCACGGTTTGTTCGTCCCGTCACTTGATATTATGAAAAAAAAAATGTACTGAAATAGGTGGCAGTATTGTGGAATAGGTGCTCAGTGTATTGTTTATTATCTGTCAGAACTTTAGCGTCGCGAGCAGACATTTTCGCACTCAGGGACTGTTTGTTCGGCTGCAACGTTGAATGAAAAATAAATAGTTCATATTGTTATCCTGTCCCTAACAGAATCAACACAACAATACTCGTACAAGTTTAAAATAAAATTTTGTTCATTCGTCGATTTGATATCTCTCAGATAACGAGTATTCTGCTTAAATGTAACACATTTTTTTTTAATGTTTCATAATAATAATAACGCATACGCTCATGGCCCCGCACTAGGGAAACCCTATATCGCGGTGGCCATGGACACGCCATAGACAAAAATAAATTAATGCAAAACTCACGAGATAAATAAATGTAGGCCACACAAACATTTCTACCGGCCTGGGAAACAAACCTGGGACTCTAACCAGCATCCGTAGCCACACCAGCACCACCGCTCTTATCGACTGAGCTACAGACCGTCAGAAGCATAGGTCAGAAGTTGCCCCCAAATAACATCATGTGTATTAATAATAAAATCATTTTCATTTTGTGATAACGCAATCGCAAAAACATTAATACCCAATAAAATAGTTACACTTTCATTTACAACTTCAAAACATTTGTTATATCTTTAATACACTACCATAGTTCACTTATAAAAAATGTAGTACAAAATTTAATACAATAATTTCGGGATTTCAGATGGACGTATTACCCACACTACGGATATTTTTACTTCTATGAAGTTCAGGTATAAAGTATGGGTCTCATAAGAAGGCTCAAGGTCACTCGGTATTTCCCTACGTGATAGAATCAGAAATGAGGAAATCCGTAGGAGAACTAAGGTAACCGACACAGCTCGAAGAATTGTTTAGCTGAAGTGGCAGTGGGCCGGGCACATAGCTTAGAGAACCGACGGCCGTTGGGGTGGAAAGGTTCTTCAATGGCGACCGCGCACCGGACGACGCTGAGCGGGTAGGCCCACCATCAGGTGAACCGGCGATCTGGTAAAGGTCGCGGGAAGTCGATGGATGCGCGCAGCGCAGGACCGAACGTCGTGGAGATCGTTGGGGGAAGCCTATGCCCAGCAGTGGGCGTCGTATGGCTGAATCATGATGATGATGATGTACAGTCGATTCCGTATGATACTTGAACCTCTAGCCGACTTTTTGATTATAAGAGCCTCCTTACGCATTCACCACTGCCTCTGTGGCCGAGCGGTTATCATGCTGAGTTCCCGGGTTCCATATTCATATTCGTATGGCTTACATATATTTTTGTCTTGAGTTCGGGTGTATTAGTAGTTGTGTATGTGTCTATGTCTATGGCAACCGCGATACAGGGATTTTCTAGTGTGAGGCTGTTTAAAAAAACAGCAAAGGTATTTCAGATTTTTGGTTGAAATTTGTATTTTTGTAACGGAATTAATGTTCAAATTGGCTCAAGAAGGTTCTTCTAATGTCGTTCACTAAAAATGCAATAAGGAAGTCACACCAAAATGAATTTTACGGCTTATAGATTAAAGGTTTGATTTGATTTGATTTGATTAAAGTTTGTTTACAACCTTTCTTTACACTGATTTACTCAGAACCAAATAGACGGTTAGCGGGTCAGGTATATTGGGGCTTCGACTGTACATATTCTGAATATTCTGATCTCTGTTTATTAGGCAAAGTATTGTACTAGTGCATATTTACAAAATAATAGTAACAACAACTCTACTGTCCGGAAAATTAATCTTGAATAATACGTTCCTCAAGGCTTTCCCCAACACAAGCACACATTTGATTAATGGGAGAACCTGATCTAGCATTGTTGAATCAAATTGAGAAATAAATAAATTATTCTAATTTTTACGTTCCTCAAGCACAATCGTTAATGTCATATTATATTTATCTCATAATGCATTTGTGGGCCCATTAAGACCATTTCGTTGAATTTGGACGTTTACGAGGCTTTTAAGCGCACAAATATACCTTCTTTATGATCTGTGGACGATTTAAACTCCTAACGGTTTTTTTCTAGTGCACTGTTTTTCTACATATTATGCATAATTAATGTTCGGCGAAATAATAATGTAATTATCAAAGAAAATTTGTAGAAGGTAAAGACATAAAATCTAAAAAAAACTATTAACATGGCGTTGAAGAAAATATAAAAAATGTCTACCTATTTCTTATTAACTAGAGGGATCTGTCCAGGTCATCTAGTTTAGCATCAGTTTAGAAAGGTCTGTTTCCTAATTGCATCTGCACATCGATAGTGGCACAAGGCCAGTCGTCAAACGAAAAAGACAATACATAGTTCTGCGTTGACGAATTTTCTACATCAAAGAACTGGTATTTTGGGCTGTGTATTTTGAACTTTGATATCAGTTTACAGCAGACGTAAATAAAGCTTTCTAGAAGAACATCTGCGTACATTTCTGGCATCCAGTTGTTTGTCGAAAAAAAATTTTAAATTTTTAAAAATTTTTAGTGATAAAATTGTCTAATTTTATCGCTGTGAAACTTAACCTTAGCAGCTACAACAACTTTTTTGAATATTTTTGAATAAATTGTAACATTATCTATGAAATTGGAATTAGTATTATAAGTTTTCATAGCATATAGCTCATACAAACGAGACCTACTCTTATGAAAACCTACTGTTGCCCAGTCGTTGAATTTAGTCTCTGTATGGAAAGTTAATGTTTTCGATTTAAATATATTATCAAATTCATTTTTGACTAAACCAAATATCGCGCTATATAAACTATTTGGAACCTCGGGTATATGGGGTAGGGAATTTAAACTATTGCCGATATTATTTTGAAATCTAATGATTCGTTCTGTGGTAATCGGGCTGCAGAGAAATTGGTCTATCTTCTTGCTCATTTTACAATTAAAAGAAGCCAATTGGCCACTATGGTCTGATCTTAAGCAATTTATTATTGATTTAGACACTGCGTCTGTGTTACAAAAGATGTTATCAATACAAGTAGAAGAGGAGGCAGTGATGCGAGTTGGTTCTAAGAAAAGATTAATCAAGTTAAAACTTTTAAACAAATTAATTTCTCAAAGGTCATACTGAAAATCAGAGCTTATGTCCATTTTGCTAAATTCTATTGTGAGCTAGCGTCCTTGTGGCCACTACAATACAAACACTAAGTCTCATCATCACCATCAATATAAACTAAGACCCGTCTCTAATACCTATCATTAAATTATAATTCCAACCCCGTTATGTTATATTTTATTAAATGAGCAAATTTAACTTCAATTCGTCAAAATTTATTAATAATTCCCTCCAAGGGAATCTGCCTTACGAGTAAATGGTCGTGTGAATTAGTCTTGACGATTAGCAGTTTTATTTTCAAATTTACTTAAAATAAATATTTATTAAGGTAGGTAAAAAAAGAACCTAAAAAAGACAAGTATCACTTGCACGAATTTCTGTCATTCAGATACGCTCAACCTTTTGTGTATGTATGTTTTTATTTCACAATAGTTTTTAACTTCGACATTGACAGATTGTTAATATTATCAGGGGTGATCAATGTGACTTTGAACGACTACTGTCAAGAGCAGCTAGTTTATTTTTATTTCTCTTATTGATATATTATGCCAATAACAAAACAGTGTATGTTAGTTTTTTTAACTTGCCTCAGAGGCATTTTGTAGTTAAGTTAGAAAATTACCCTACTACGTAGTTCTGCAGAATCTAAGGCGATTTTAATGTTTTATTTACTATTTGTGAATTAATACCAATGTTACTTCTGTTGTATGTTTCTGAATGGCTCCGGCTCCTTTGACGACCCACTTCAATTTTATGTTATTGCTTGAAGAAATAAAATGACGTTAAAATATTTCATCGTTTTCCTACGGAATTTGGAGGCCAAAGAGGGAGATGGGGGTAATTTGTCAGCACCAACTCTTGTCTTCCATTTGCTGAACCTTTCAACTAGGAGTATGGTGATGTATTGAAAAGTTGCGAAAACTCTCTAAAGTTTTGCGCTAGTTTTTACTACGTAATATCGTCTCCAAAGAGGTCGAGATTTATTGAATAATATTTCGTTAGGCCACTAGGGAACTGAAAACAGAAAGGGAGGGAATTCAGAGCCCTCCGGAGGGAGTGCACTCTTGACTCGGTAGCAAAACGTTTGATTTGACAAAGTCTCGAAATACGAGCACGAAACATTTAAATTTTGTCTAAGGCATTTCCACATCGAACAAGACTAACGTGTGTCCATTCGACTGGCATACTTTATAGCCTGCAAGTTGGTCGATACTTATGGGTGAGCGTGACGGGACAACTAAATGAATAAAACAACACCCAGCAGTCTCTTAGGATTTCAAGCTATCTGTTCACTCCTTTGCCCAGTGGCACAACCAATGCCATCAGT